TACATGAAAGCTGCATTGACTTTCCTCCAAAATAGGAGCAAAGAGCTGCACTGCACTTGATGTTACCTGCAATGAAGTTGAGCAACAAAGGGAAGAATTGGCTATTACCTCTCCGAGCTCAGTTAAATGTCTTACACTGGGTCTGGAAAGGATCAGGATAATGGAAAGTTTTGGTCTGGGTTGAACAACACCTCAGAGGAACACTTTTGGATGTCAGAAACTTGGCTTCTTTTCCCTCTCTTAGAAGAAGTTGCCATATAATTACCTTTGCCAGGTACTTTCTGTCGAGAAAAAAAAAAATAGTAAAGCTTATTTTAATCCTTCCCCTCGTTGACACCTCATTGTTTTATACTTGTAATGATAAATGTGATAATGAGTAATAACATCTATTCATGGAATGTGTGAAAGCAGGTCTGAAATGTCAGGATTTTGCATGAGGAAAATGTGTCTCCAACAAGGTCAACTGCACTGACTTACTTTAACCCATTCGTTATTAAAACATATGCTGAATTTCTCATAAGTCTGGTCAGAGTACATTCTCTGTCTCTGTGCCTCTTTGCCTGCAGTTTTTTTTTTTTTTTCAGATGGTGCTCAAAGGCCAAATTATAAGAATTTTCACACTCGTTGTTCCCCATTAAAATGCTAATGCTGGTTGTGATTCTTATTGTTTAATCCCTTGAGTGCTTTAGGAAATGGAAGACAGAGTACACATTCTCTGAAAGAGCGCTCACCCTGTATGTTTCTCTGTCCTATTGTCAACAGCAGGGCAGATGAAATGGAGTGGCTTGGCCAGCAGACAGGGCTCCTTAGCAAGGTGTGGAAAGCAAGCTGTACGCAATCGTGCCTCTGATGTTACATGCCTTGTGCTCGTTCTGTTCTCTCCCACACGGACTTTTATAATGCCCTCATCACCGAAGTGTCTGAGTGCTTTCTAATAGTGCATTAACCAAAACAGCCAACATCTGTCACTTGTTTCTCCTTTCATCCTGTCCCCAGGGAGAAGAGCCTGCGTAGAGAGAAACCTTTGGTAGTGGACTATTTTATGAGAAAAAGATAGGGAATGAAGATTGCTTTTTAAGAGTTTATTAGCGTACGTGTTTTTGTAATCTATAACAGGGTGGGAAAAGGTCAAAAGAATACACTTGGAGCAGAAGGAGATGAAGAGGTATGGTGGTTCACAGACTCTGGGGAATGTCATCCATGGCGCTTGTGTGCCTTTCAGGACAGCTCTGCTCTGCTCTGCTCACCATGGTGCCAGAGACTGGAAGCTGCCAACCTCAGTCCTGGTAAACTGGATTATTACGATCATGAGCCGAGGCTTGGGATGGCTATCAGTGAGAAAGACAGATTCTGAATTTGACTACAAAATTCCAAGGGGTTGGCACTGACAGCACCATGCTGACTGTCTGTAGATAACTAATGGTGGGTGACATAGTTGATCTTTTTGTTGTTCCTGCTTTAACATTTCTTGACCTTAAGAATATAAATGCTGATTTTTGCTCCCAGAGTGAACTGAAGACTTGAAAACCAGGATCTTTCCACTTACCATAACCAGGAAATAACTTCTTTTGCCACCTATACATGTGCCCCATAGAAACAAAGATTTCTTTACCACAGAAAATAACAGGAACAAAAGATACAGATTTTATAAAAGCAGTATTGGTTCTGTAACAAAAGATGCATTTTTCAAAATACTCCCATCTTTTCAGAGCAACTTACATTATTTGTGCTTGTGCGTAGTTTTTGAGAATCCTGTTAAATAACTGGTGTTTCTTCCTGCTTCTGTGACTTTCCTCATTCCTTTATACTGTCTGAAATACTGGCTTTTATTCCATAATAAAACTATCATGAAAACCTGGCAAGCATCTCCTTAGAAAATTCAGCACTGCTGTATACACACTGTACGCTATCAAGCTAGTTTTAAAGAGTATTTTGACAATACTGAATGGCTTGTTATGTCATGATAATCTGCTTCATATTAATTCATTCTGGCTCTTGTTACCTTAATTTAACACTTGAGAACTTTGGATATTTCTACCATCAGCCCAGCTAAAATAACCACCTTTTTGTTTTCCATGATTTTTCAGCATGAATCAAGCAGACATTACCCATGGTTTCCATGGCTAGGTATGAAGCTTCAAAACTAAATGAAGGACACCAAATGAAGAAATATTAATTACAGTTTGCCTGGAATCACAAGGGAAGAATTGATTCAGACACACTCTGCTGTGGGCCTGGATTAGCAGTACACCATGATTCCTTCTCCCCTTGAACTAGCTGTGCTCACCAACGAATGGAATTTTACAGCCCAGATTTTCCGCTCTTCTTTTCCTCCTTATGCATAAGACAAACAAGCAAACAGTGTGGCTCAAAGATCACAAGAGCTGTCCTGAGTACAACTACCTTGCATGGGAACACAGACCACATCGCAGTTTACATCTTTGATGTCTGTCTTGAAATTAGACTGTGATTTTTAAAGTTAGGTAGCACAACTAACTATTCACATGAAAATATGTAGATAAAAGAGCCATGTTTTCTCATCCGTCATTCTCGGCTTTTAGAGTCATAATCTTGCTATTGGACTGCGCTTTTCTGTGAAAGTATGCATTCTTTTATTCCATGATTTCATAGCTATGCAGACATCTCTTTCTAAGATGTAGGCTGTTGCATATTCAACCCATATGTGTCATCCAATATTGAGTAGCTAACACTAAGATAAACAGTCTAGATGTCTACAGTGGAAGATGTTCTTGTTCCTAAGTCCATCAAGAAGAAAAACAAGATGTTCAGCTAGCATAGTATGGTCTAGGTGACAGTTTGCTCTGTCTGGGTGTAGTTCTGACCACCACCAGTGTGTTTGCTTTTTATTTGTAAGTTTCGAAAGCAAGTAAAATAAAGTGAGAAAATCACATTTAGCAATACATACTTTATTATTATGCTATCAAAGGCATAAATGCCTTTAAAGTAAACTAACGTAACATATCACACTCAAAAGACAGAAAATAATAACAAGATACACATAATGCTAAACCATCAATGTGTTTGGTTGGTGGCTTTTTTTTAGTTGCATTTCAATAACTATGATTCCTCTCTTATTCATTTCTTTATACCAAGACTGTTAGACCAAGAAAAGCACCAAATCAGCAGACACAGGAATTTGTGCTTTTGACACATATTCTTAGGGAGAGAAGATCTGGCTTGTAACATACGTGTATCACATACTTAAGAATCTGTTACAACTTGAATACATATGGTAGCTGTTGTCCAAGTAAGTCTATTCAATAGGCACTACAGATCTGTAGAGGCCAGTTTTTATAAACTCATGGATTCACAGTGTATTGCCTTCACTATTTTCAATGACTGCTTCTCTTAAGTAGTACAGCTTATAGTGTTATAGAGAACAGCCACGTGAATATAATGTTGGGAGGAGGGAATAACAATAAAATAAAAAATAAATAAACCCAAGTTTACTTACACTTCTTTTATTGGTCTAATTCTCTCAGGCCACCTGTTTTGTAGCAGCTGTGAACCCAGTGAACTCCAGGAGATTACATGATTCTAACATTACAGATCAGCAGCCAGGATGTGACCTAACTTCAGTTTCAGAAACAAAACAAATAAAACCCAAAGTGGTGTTTGCATGACATTTTTAGTGGCCTGAAAATGTGTGATATCATGTTGCAGCCAGCCTGGTGCAAAGGCGAAGTGCTGCTGCAGGAAAGTCCTGCTCCTGCCTTTCTCTCCCAGCTGTGTGCCTTCAGCTCTCGTGCAGAAGACCTACCTAGTGCTTTGACTCAGAAAAGCCCATCTGACTGTTGTGGTGGTTTTGTTCTCTGTTGAGCCACCTAAATAATCCAGCTCACCTTGCAACTGCACAATCATTAGGTCTGAAAGAGAAAAGGCAAAGGAAGCACAAAGCCAGGATCAAGCAGATAAATCAGTGGAATTAGCCCTTTCATTAGCATTTCCCCATTAAACTGGGGCAGATCTGACATGAAAACGGACCCTAAGAAAAAGTAACACATTATTTCCCTGACGCTTCAATAGCTCATATTCAGCACTAACATTCTCACATTCAGCTAAGTAAAAATAAAACTGTTTCCCCCATGAATGAGAATCATGTTTGATAAAAATTTTACTGTAAATGACAAAACGATGCAAAGATATTTTTGATACTTTGATATGTATAAAATATTATGTGCCAAAGCAGAGTGAGAATTTCCACACGCTTTGGTTCAATCTTGCAGCTTAGCTAATTGAACTGGATGCTGCCTTAAAAATCTTTTTTCCATTCCAAGCTAGAGATTGAACGTTTGAGACTTCACACAAGTCCCTCAGCACTGACCTCATTGGTACGTTTTATAAACTCACGGAGGTAGGACCAAAGCAGGTAGGTCTCGCAGCTGAGAACTCATAGCTCACTTAGCCGAGTACTAATCATGTTATTTAAAAGAAGAGAGTGCCCTCTAGTGGAGAATTCTGAGACTTACTCCTAGTACAACATTTTAAGGGATGCACTGGTTTTTGTAACGCCAGAAACACCCAAGCCAACCCAAAACAAACAAAACCAAAAACCAGCTCAGAACCATGTATAGAAAGTACAGTCAGCGTTGAAAATCCTCCAAATTCACGCTCATTTTCAGCTGCAATACACAGGCTTGTTTGACATTTTTTTCACTCTTTTAACCCATACCTTTTTAAAATGTAGAAATTCTTGGGTAATCCTATTCTTCTCTTTATTCTTTTACTGCGGTCGTCTGATCAGAAAAAGAGGTGACACGTGTTTTGACTGCCCTCACAACAGGAACAGTCAAAGGGAGTGTCTGCAAGGCGTTCATACACTCCTGCAAATAAGAAATGTGCTTCCCAGAACGAGAATAATTTCACAAATAATGTACCAGTAACAGAAAGTTAAATTAGCAATGAATATCCGTCACAATGAAGCACTCAACCAGCTCTTGATGTGACACAACTTGAAGGGACACAATGTACTTTCAAAGGGCACTGATGTAATAGGATGAGACATAGTGACCTTTGTATGGTTGCCTTATTTGCTACACAGACGGCAATCAAGCAACTTTAAACAGCCCTGAGACTTTGTTCCTGACCTCTTCTGAACATTTTTCATTTAATAACATGTAAGTGCCTTTTACATTCTCCCTTCCTGTTTGGATTGCATGGGGCTGAGAGATCAAGATAGATAGCAAAACCCTGATCTGGTGGAGGAATGATCTCGCTCTATGAACCTCCTGTGAGTTATAGGGTTCAGAAGGCAGAACCCATGGTCTTGTCAGTAAGAAGAGTGAAACTAGTACAGTTTCATCCTCCTCCTCATTTTTCTCCAGCATATTTCATCACAGTCTGACATTCCTGCTACCAGTTTTCCATCTTACACCTGATAGGGTTTTTCCTGTATCACATGCTGCCTTTATTGTGCCAGACTTACGGCTAACTCTTGAAACCCTGTGCCAAACCTTGCAGTTTCTACTAGTATTCATGGAGAACAGCTGCTAGAGCATACGATTTCAAAAGAATATCAGCTCTCATTTAAAAAAATAAATACAGAAGAAAGCTTGAACAACACAAAGTCTCCAAATCTGAGGTGTAAATGCAAAACCACAAGAATATATTAGTCCAGATATGTGTCATATTTTTAAAGCCCATTGGCAATCTTCTGAGGTGTGAGCTGTGATTTCCAAATGTCTGCAGCTGGCAATTGTTTGCCATTTAAAATTTCTCATGTGGAGACTTTATTCTCCATCACACAGCTCTGGCCACTTCTGAGTTACAGGACACCAAATGAGTTTGGCAGACAGCAAGATCTGTCTGTGTGCGTCAATCACGCTTACTAAAATGTCTCTCCTTATTCATTACATTCAAATGCTCTGTGAGTAGACTAAGACTGAACTGCAGTGTGGAGGATGTTTCAGTGGCTGGAGGGTGCACTTCGTGTAGAAAAATGGAATTGGAAGATGTAATCTTCACCATTCTCTCTTTTTCTTCTCAAATGCTGAAGTATGTAATCTTCAACAGCATTTGTAAGTGTTTGCTTTCTAGTATTACGCCTGTGTTATCTTCTTTTCATTTCCTTCCAAGCTAGCTACTTGTAATTTCTCATCTGGGATGAAACACCTGAAAACCAGAAAATAAAGAAAGAAAATAAAAGCAACACATATCTTTTCTACTGAAAATTACAATGATTAAATAATTTCTAAGATAAATCCAATGAGTTACAAATACAATCTTCACATGATTTTCTTTTAGCTATATTGCTAATAGTTTGCATTCATTTTTTCGCATATTCTAGCAGATGGCATCTCTGAATGGACGTGCTGAGACATAGGACTCAGGCAGTAATGAGGTAACGCGTGTTTAACCTCATTTGTTGTCATGAAAATTCTCATTAGGATTAAATTCATCCCACGAGAAAACAGGAGTCTACCTTAAATTACATGAGTATTCTCAAATTAATTGTAGTTGGCAACTAAACACAGTACTATCACCACGAGTTCTCACTGGGTTTTCAACTCGTGAGCTTTCTGCCATTCAGTCATTTCTAAAAATACTATCTTTACTCTAGCAGGCCTCATCTCCTCTTTCAAAATACAAATAACAAGAATTCTTCTTTGGCCTGTCATTTGTTTGATATGCTAAGCTTATGCCCATCTTAATGCTTCATTACGAATGGAAGGAGTATCTAACTCAGGGAGGCAGAAAAGGAAAAAAAAAAGACAGCTGAGAATCTTTGAATAAACTACAGAAAATGCATGTTGAATTATTTGAAGCCTAGTGAAGAAAAAATGTGCAAGTTTTCTAAGAGACTTTAAGCTTTTAAAGCAGATTCTCTGAAGATCTAACCACTAAAAAGATCCAAAATTAGATTAGAGCCTAAAGTGAAGTCTGCATGTGGTGCTTTGGTACAGATTATTATATTATGCCAGAGGTCTAGACAAGAAGGAGCCAGCCGTGATTCTAGCCTGCATTGTGAGAGAGAGCATTTGAAACAGAGAACAGCATTATCCAGAGACAGCAAAGCTGATTCTGGGTCTCTTTTTCAGTTCTTTAGGTAGGTTATCCCCAGATGGAAGGATGACCCATATCCTAGCTTTGACTGCTGATGGCTTAGAAGCACAGAAACAATGAGTTCAGAAACCATTTCTCTGCATCTTCACCATTCATCCTCTAGAATGACAGTTTTTTCTACATACACTCCAAGACTCCAAGAAGCCCTGGAAGGGAAAACCAATTTTCAGTACCGTGTAGAACTGGTTCTAGAACAGACCCCCATGGGACACTTGTGTATTTGTCTCCTTAGCACTGCTGTTGCAGCCCAATTCCTCCTCAGAAACAGACAGGCCTATGTTGCCATTACCTTGTTGCAGGAGTCCTGGTATTACTGTAGAAATGAGCAACCACTGAACTCAGGGAAGAGCGGCCCATGGTAGAGATGTCACACCATGCAGTCTGAATTTCAGAGGAATTTGGATCAAGTCTTTCAAAACTGTAACTATGTGTTATAAATCAGCCATGTGGTATGTAGGACTGGAACACCCTTCAGCTTGTAATCAGGTCCCAGAAAGTCCTCTCAGTTCACACGCAATGAATCCTGGCTTTTCTGCTGGGCATAGCTTTGTCTGTTATGCAAATGTTAGTTTTCTTCTCCCACAGATCAAGGTCTTTATGGTGGTGCTGAATAATTTTAACATACCAATTGATAGTTCAGTTGGAAAATTGAACTATTTCCAAGCTTGGATTTTGAATGCATGAGAAAAAAGAAAAAAAAAAAACAAAAACAAAAAACAGCTTAGAAATTGATTTTGTTAAATCACAGCAACACTTTGATGTAGATATATATTTAAGATGTTTTCATAATGGCTTTGCCTCAACGAGTAAGGAATCAGCTTAAGCTAGTTGTACCCAGTGTACCCTAACACAAAACACCAACAAATGGTATGATGAAACTAAAGGCTCTAAATGTACTAAATGCATTGATCTATTAAAACATTTCTACTCCTATTTGATTGCATTGTCTTGCAAAGACAACACTTGCGTACAAGTATGTTTTTATGACCGTTCTATGAAAAATACAGAACATCAGCCAAATTCAAGTGAAATTCTCAGTGCAGTAAAAGTAGTGAAAAGTCTTGTGACTAGGGCTGAGAAAGAATGGATTGTCTTATTTTCATTGGAGCTTCATTAGTTAGAAAAAACTGATAGAGTAAATGCTCAATCACAAAGCACTATTTTTCAGCATAATTACTATCAATAACTATACATTTTTACCAGTGATGAAGAAGAGCCTACATGCTGCACTCTTGAAAATCAGCACCAGCAAAGGTGACCCACTGTCAATGTAACCACTGCTAAAACACACCGCCCTCTGCCTCACTGTGCTCACAGCTACTGTTTGGTCTCCATAAACATTCAGCATGCATTGATGAATATCAGTAGGTGCTATTTTTTATCTGCATAGAGGAAATCAGTGACACACCTTTTCTTCATGCACACTTCCATGTCAGTCACCATTTTGTCAGACTGCCCCTGTGCTGCCATCTGTCACACAGCAACAGAATGTAATGGAATACTATCAGGAAGGTTCAGCATCTACTGCCATGCCACCAGCATCTGTCTGTGACATTCCGAGCTGGCATAATAAAATAGGAGGCATTACTTTCAGCATTTGTCTGATAGTTGCAAACATTTCATCCAATTATATTTTTCTCTAAATGTTAGGACCTCAGCTTATTAGTTCTAAAAATACCAGAAAGCCTGAAGATGTTCTTGGAATTGGTGCAAGTACTCAGTCTTTAAGATATCACTGTAGTACGTTTCTAAGAGAGAAATAATCTGCATTAAGTTAACCTGTTCAGAACAGAACATGGACTTTTTTTTCTCTAGCCTCTTTTCTTTTGCAGATCCTTTAAGTATTTGATCTAGTATCCAAGATTTAATAAAACATGATTTACCCTAACAGATATATAAACTAACAAAAAATACATGAAGAACATAAAACATCACACATATTAATTCAATTATGAAGACTATGTAGTGTTCTATATCACAACATCTGCAAAAATTAGGTCGTGTTAAAGATTAGTTTATTAGTAATACAGAACTCCAAAGTAACAAGAATCACCTCTTTTTTTCAGATGTCCCTTTGACCATGCTAAACACTGCCTTTCCTTGATACTTGCAGTCTATAATTATGTCTATATGTAAGTTGTTTTTTGTCCGTCATATGTGATGTGTTGAAGTGTTGTTTTGTTTTGGTTTTATGCTGTTGCTGCTTTATTTTTAAATGTTTCCTCACAAGGCAGCTGTAGTTCAGTTGCTCAGAGTAAGTGCAATTAAATTGAAAGGTTGAATACATGTTTTCACACTTTGTGCTGGGAGGACTGGGTATCCCCATCCAGTAATCTATGCACTCTCTACAGCAGAGCTGGATTATTCCAAATGAAAATAGGTAGAGCTGGAAGAAATATGGGAGATCCTTGTATGATGGGTCTTATGCTCTTGATTTGCAACCTCACACAGCAGTACTATTCATAGAAAGCACATAGACAAAGTGCATAAAATAAGAAAAAAACATGCATTAGATGAATCTGAGAGACTATCAGATCCTAACATATACCAGCCACTTGCAATAGTTAAACAAAATACGAGAGTTGTGAATGGGGCTCTGCAAATGCATCATCAATAGTTTGATTTGATTATTTTGTAAAGAAAGCAGAATCAGATTGTTCAAGGATGATTTGCCAACAGATGAAGAAAACCCAAGGTTCAGTGCCTGTCAACAAGTAATGAAAAGTGTCCTGTCCTATCTGTCCATCTGTTCTCCCAGTGACTTCAATTGATGAAAGTCAAAATTCTGTAGTAGGTGAGATTAATCTAGTCATCCTCCTCCCCATCTAGATAGTCTTATTTAACCATAGTGACATGGAAAGCTTTCATGGTATGCTCAACCTGGGAAAAATATAAATGCTTTACCTAAAACAAACAAACAAACAGCAACAAGAAAACATAGTAGAGGCAAGGATTCTAGGCTTGTAAAGCATCGCTGCAAAATGTCATTGGTCTTAAAGTTAGAAACTACAGGGGTGAGGGGTCTACAAAGCAAATAATCTCAGATGATCCCTTAAGTAGGCACTGTACAGGGACACTTTTTCTCAATTCAAAGATGGCTCAGTATTTTCATACAAACAACTCATGTTCTTCTCTAGCTAAGTGTTCCTGATGCTGGACACCGGAGGAACTTCAGAAAAGGCACTAATTTTGAGAACTGTGATAAGGTAACTGCAAATGAATTAATGTCCATTCTATAAGAGAAGTTAATTTATCATATGAAAATGAATTCAGAAAATAACTCCCTTTTACTAATGTAACATCTTCTTGCTAAAAACTTAGTTTAGTTTTTTCATGCAGGTAACCATCTTTATTAATCTCCATCATTTGACTGGCACACATTTCAATTTTTAGATGATTTTTCTCCAGTACTTGAAGACTCTGGAATGTAAGTGTAAAGTATGCATGCATTATGCAGTAACATCAAGGCAGAATTAGACTGTACTTTAAGACAAGATATAGTATCTGTTGCTCCTGTGAAACAGACTTGATTAAATTCCCTACGGAGACAAAGGTTCAAAAGTTCCTAGTTTAATAAAACATGGCAGAAAATGTGGGAAATAGCTGAGGATGTGAAGCTTTCACAATGTGAATGGATCTATTCCTGAAATAAATGCATTTTTTCTGTAAACAGCTATTCTCCATAAAAATACATTTTTCTTAAATAACTCAGTGTTTGGTCTGTTCACATAACGTGTGTGAAGTATCTTACCCTGCCCTAGGTATAGACCTGCATACTCTTTGAAGCAGGAACAGAAATTTCAATAAAACCTGTTGCAAACTAGAAATTCTGAGGTCTTCCACTAATTAAAATATTTCTTTCCTGAAGGTCTGACCTATCCGCTCTTAAGTTTTTCACAGATAAAGTTTGGGAAAAGATCTGAACAAATGATAGTTTGGGAAAATGATGGGAGATAGTTATCAGATTTCAGCCTACTTTTGTATGAGCATTCAATAGTGTTCATAACAAATAAAAAGCAGTTGGCTCCAGCATACATGAAAACCATGGAGGACAACATACTGCTCAGAGGCAGTACTGGCAATTCTTATGTTACAATAGCTGGATGCATGGGCTGAAGAAGATGAGAAGAAATTTGAGTTTTCAACTACCATAACGGGAACTGCAACCAATTGTAGAGCATGTTCTTGCTCATTACTTGATTTTCCCATACTGTTGGCTCAAATTGTTTGATAATGACCTCTGGGAAAAAAAAAGTAATCGCAACACAATTGTTTTGATTAAAAAAATGTAGTACTGCAAGGTCTGAGTGTGTGTGCAGTTCTCATGGACTGCTTTTTGGATGTGCTCATACATCTGAATTGAGAGTAAATTGACTGAAGAAAAAAAAAATATTTCTCACCCTTGCCAAGAGATAAGGAAAAACAGAAAACAAAAGAAAACCAACAAGCAACAACCACAAACGAGATCCTTCCACAGCTTCTATAGAGATAAAATAACACCAAATTGGGTGATCTTTATATATACACAATTTTTACAATTCTCTTTATCCTTCCCGAAAGACAACAAACGCATCTCCCACAGAAAAGAACACAACCGATCACCATGTCCACTGTGAATGCTGTCAGGCCCCTGCCAGCACCAACAGCCTCTCCCTGCCCTGGGTTACAAGCCTCAGCCCAAATCCTGCCCTGGTTCTCTTGTGGGGCTTCCTAGATGGGCCTCAAGTCTGTGGTGTTCTCATCTCCAGCCCTTCTCCTGTTCCATCTCCTGCTGCCTCTGGAGGAACCTATCTCTGGTTGATCCCCTCGTTCGCGGGCCCTGTTGCCACCCCCTGGCCCTGCTTATGTGCTGTGAGGCCGTGCCCCGGCTGGCGGAGGCATCATCTATGCTGCAGTCACTCTTGGCTCATCCTCCCTTGGAGAAAAGCCCCATTATCGCTATTCCCTGACAAACACAGCAAGTTCATGGAAATTGCAATAAGATAAATTTCAGTAAGCCATTAGGAAAGCTTCCCAAGTGCAACTTGTTCTTAAAGTCCCTTCTACCCTTAGTTTCCATGTACCTGGAAGATGCCTGCGAAAGAAAATAGATCAAGTTAAATTCAAGGATGTTAAAGCTACAATCCTCTGTGTCTTGAGGGTGTGTCTGCATGGTCCTTCACAATTACAGCTGATGCTTCCTCTTCAAAAAATGGTAAACTGCTGCTCTGTGACAGGCCCGTAATGTGATTCTCTAATACAATTGCAGTTAGGGGTCAATTTTGGCACCTGTCTTCTAAACCAGCAGCTTCCATTCAGTTTTTCTCATGTGGACGGACAACTGGACCTACAGACAATCTACCTTTTCTCTTAAGCACTTCTTAAGATTTTTCTATCTGCCACTAAGGTATATTCTGACTGTCTTCAGAAACGGTAGATGAGATATGCCCATATGGGATTCTTAAAATATCTGTACCATTCCAGAGTAACAGATTTTGCTATTTTCTTAAATACCACTGCAAGTTTTCCTGAACAATTCATTTTGAAGGAGACATGAATAAATTCTCCTGTTACTGAGATGCCCAGCTGGGGTGTCTCAGGCCACAGCTTGTGTGACACTGCACCATGGCATCAACATGACAGCTGCCTCCGGACAAACACAACAAATAAAAATAATCACGAGCACAAACTGGAAAATAAATGAGGTAGCTTTGTATTCACAAAGGAAATCAACTAAGGTACACATAGAGCTTTTGCTTTGATGTTCTAGCGTATCTGTGTAATAGCTGTTTTGATATTTGCCTGAGATGTGTCTCTATTTCCAGTCAAGTATTAGGAAGCTGAATGCAAAATGTAACACCTTAATCTTTCTTTTTCTTTCCTCACTTGATTGCTAGTTTTTCATCATATGTTGCCACATGGAAAGTTGCCCCAAAAATATCACATTTTAATTAAAGAAGTCATGTACAGGCAATGTGATGGATTGGGAGACAAGGACTATGGGGATGGTCAGAGGATCTGTATGGCTATAGCCAAGTTAAACTGACATTTTATTGACACTTATCTGCAACACACACACTGCTTTTTGTCCTCACCTTTATCTACTGCCTCTAACAGAGATTCCTGTCATTGCTTGGGTTCTTGTTGTTTTCATTTTGAATTGGCTTAACTATGTAGGCTCTAAATCAGTTCTGAGCAATGACACATCTGAAAAAAAATATTTGTAAGAAAAAAGATTGTTTCAAGCTAACTTGGTCTGTGGGTTAGAGATTAATGAGGAAAAACAAAACAAAAAGAAGAATATTACCAAGGGAAGAAATATCTACTGGACTTGTGATGGGGGTGGAAGAAGAGGACAAGCTTGCACCCAGAGCTGTGGTGCCCCATCCCTGGAGCTGCTCAAGGCCAGGTTGGATGGGGCCCTGGACAGCCTGAGCTGGTGAGGGGCAGTCCTGTCCACAGCAGGGATTGGGACTCAATGACCTTCAAGGTCCCTTCTAACCCAATTAGTTCTATGATTTTATGATTCCATGATTGTATGATTCTATGACATCTTGCCATAGATCTGCTGCAAGCAGCATAACTCATGTCACGATTTTGAATGCTAGAAAACACTAACTAAAACACAGACATGTGAAGGAAATCACATTTAGTGCACCTTTATTTGGTCTCTCATTCTGGAATGACTAGAACTGGTTAAATCAGTTTTAGGACATCAGAAAAAAAAAAAAAAAAAGTGAGATCTATTTTCAAATACATTTTTCTCCAACTTTTCTTGGTATTGCTTAAGTTAATGTTTGTTATTAAAAGATTCTAATTTAGCCTGTCTGCTGTATAGTAGTATGCTTTCATACTTGTCAAGAAAACTCTCATTTTTAAAAAAGAGCTTGAAGAACTAACCCATCTCTGTCAATTAGAGAACTTGCCTGCATTTCATACTTTATTTGATCTGTTATTCAGCATTCATAAATAATTGAATCTGTTGATGGTATCTCTTTAATACAATAAGACCTCACAATAAAGCAGTATGTTTTTTTTTCCCAGAGTAATTTGCTGTTGCTGTTTTGTTGGTTTTTTTTTTTCTGATTGGATTGTGTTGTTTGTTTGTATTTCAGAGCAATGTATTTACATCTCTAGCTTGGCCTTAGAAAACAGACTCTTACAACAATCACAGAATGGCCTGGGTTGAAAAGGACCACAATGATCATCCAGTTTCAACCCCTCTGCTATGTGCAGGGTCGCCAACCAGCAGACCAGGCTGCCCAGAGCCACATCCAGCCTGGCCTTGAATGCCTCCAGGGAGAGGCATCCACAACATCCTTGGGCAACCTGTTCCAGTGCATCACCACCCTCTGCGTGAAAAACTTCCTCCTGATATCTAACCTAAACCTCCTCTGTCCCAGTTTAAGACCATTTTCTCTTGTCCTATCACCATCCACCCTCATAAACAGTAGTGCTCTCTTCTGTTTATAAGCTCCCATCAAGTACTGAAGACCACAATGAGGTCTCCCCAACAGCAGTGCATAAAGAAAGGTGCGATGTTTGCGCAGCCATATCGATCTTCACTTAGATTAATACATAATAATGGGAAAGGAGAGAAGCCAATTCCATAATAGCTAAAGAGAACAAAGAGCCTGATCTCAGTAACAAAATAATAATAACCATAACTCCTCGTCAGAATCATGGAATGTCTAGAGTGGAACAAGGAATCTGAGGAAAAATAATGGTTGCAAAGATAAAAAATAAAACAAAAATCTAATCTGGTCAGCAAAACACCATGTAGCTTTTTGAGGAGATCACCAGCTTGGCTGCAAAAAGCAAGTGTTCATAAAATGGTCTTCTGCAGGATGTTCACCTCAGGCTTGCTTAAGGTTTAACTTCCTCAAGAAGACCAGTGTCAGAATGAGCACAGCCTCTGGTATTTGCAGCCATCTCAGAGCAGAAGAGGGTTAAGCAGCTTATTGAAGGGCAGGCACACCAGCAAGCTCTCCATAATGCGGTAAGTTAGGGACAGGAATCTGAGCTCAGGTAGGGCAGTACGAGCAAGTCCCCATGGGGAAAAGGACGCGTGCTTTCTACGGGTAAGAGTTGAGAAGAACGGCGCCCAGCAGGTGGCGACGTCGGGCCGCGGCCGCCGCCGGCGTATGGCTGCCTCTGGGGCGATGGCGCTGCCGGGGGCCGCTGGGTGGGAACCGATTGTGGCAGAACTCAGCGTGAGTCACGGAGTTTCTAATGTTACAAGGAAGCAGAGTAAAAGTTCAGCAAGTGCGATGGGACGTAGAGAGGAATGAAGGGGAGGCCTGCGGATCCAAGAACAGATTACGCGAGGTGCAGCTGTTCGCTTCCTTTTCAGGAGAAGCGGTGATGTCTCCTCAGTGATTTGCCTCTAGTCAGATAAACACAGCTGGTAGTAAGAGATTCATCAGGCCGGGCAGAACTACACATCTGCCCGAAAGAGGTAAAGTTGCCAGATTTAGCTCACCCACTTCACAGCAGAAAGGTTGAGGTTAGGAGTACTTTCATTCACTGGGGAAAGAAATCCTTTTGACCTGCTAGGAAAAAAACCGGAGTGAGAATCTGACCCTAAGAAATAACAAAGAGAAGTGAGGTTTTCTGGCGTCTGGATTGTCAGAGTTCATAACAAAGTCTCTTCTGGCCAGGTTGTAATCTGTCATCTTTCAGCTATCTAATCTTTAGAAACGAAAATGAGTGAAATTTAGGTGGAGACTGTTGTTTCAAGTTAAGCTCTACTCAGATGGTATTTAACCTGCAATTAACCACCTGTTTTAAAGAAAGTCAGAAGACTGCATTAAATGAGGCAATGCTAATGCCATGTGGACTTACGTTGTAATGAATACCCTGTGAGAGGTAAATTTAGAGAGCTAGACTATGTAAGTTCTATGCTGTGGTTTATTCAGCTAGATTACGTCCTTTAAGCAAATCTCCTCTGGTTTTAATTTCTAATTAAGTTACTGAGCAGTACTAGTGAAATTTGGGAAACTGAAAATTTATCGTGGAAACGAACTCGTTACTGAATCAGAGGCAGCCTGATCCGGCCTTTTTGGATCATTTGCTCTTTTGAATGTGGGTGGAAAATATCTGTACTTATTTGATCTTGTTCAGATTTTCATTGTGGCTACAACTAAATAGCATGGTTGGTCAGCCTGCCAAAATTTATGA